ATACTGTAGTACATCACATCTGGAGGGCTTCAGGTTCAGTAGCTGAAGTCCCTTCTAGCTTTGGAACCCTATTTTTTTAATATTGCAAATGGGCCCAGAAACCTGTCAGCATGATGCAGTCAGTGATCAGAGGAGATCCAGGCACATTTCCACAATCAGCTATATTACACACCAAATGACCTTGTGTGTTAATTACTGTCTCTCTGATTGACTTGCCTGCAAGAGGAATTGTGGGGGGGAGGGAGGAAAATTCTATTTGCTGCCTTGAACTTCTCTGAGAAAAGGTGGGATAGAAACAGAACTCAAGTTTGCCTACCAGGAACCAATGCTTGAACACATCTGTTACACATTGCTGAATTTTCTGTCCTGCCTGGTCTTCATTTAGCTTGCAATACTGTAGTCTGTCTTCCCCTGATTTAAACAAGAGTGCACTTTTTTCCCCCCAGTTGAAGAGTTCCTCGGAAAACCTAATTCAGAGTAGGCCTCCCCAGCAACTGTATTTGCAGGACAGGGGCTACATGTTCCCTCGTGTTTGTGTATTTGTATGTGGAAACAAAGACATACAACCCCTCGCTGAGACCTAATTTTTAACTGAAGAAACTGAACTTGGGAAGACTGACAGCTTCAGTCTATTGCGTAGGGTAGACTGCAGCTCTGGCGTCAGAATAATGGGTTTTACAAGTATAGGAACGTCTCTAGTTTACTTGTGAGAAACTGAAAGGCGTACACTTTTGATACAAGCCCTTTGGCTTAAGCCTTTTGGCAGGAGTTCTTGCACATAAATTAATAAATCCTGGCTTAGCCAAAATCCACACAACAGCATAATGAAATGACTGGGTATTCCTTCAGCAAGATGTGACAATGCCGCTAATTCAGATAACTCTTTAATTTTGGAGCACGGATTATGTATTAAGGTCACGCCTCTGCGTTCTACACTCTTAACTACTCCACATTCCACAAAACTGGAAAATTGCTTTATTGTTTTCTTTTGTGTCTCTCTTTCTGAGTCTCATCTTTGAACAGGTTTCCAAAATGAGATTCAGCAGGTAATTAAAGCAACTATGTTTTCAGGGACAGTGAGAATTGCAGAGGCATTATTAAAGATCATACCTGGAGATTAAAAATAAATAAATCAAAGTAGCGTAGGGACATTCTGAAAATTGTCTGGAACAAAAGGAAACAAACGGGTCTAACTGCCTCTGTGACCACAGTGCCCCCTTATGGAGCCCGAAGCTTTAAAACTAGCTTTTTCTTCTCTTATTGTTCAGAACATAGAAAAACAAAAAGTTACTTTGAAAGAGACTAACTGGCATTTCCTGTTACAAAAGAAATAGAAAGAAATTATAATTGATTCAAGTAAAACAACAAAGAGAAAATGGAGTATTTCATGATCTGCAGCCACAAGAGTTGTCAACACGAATAACCCCACCTTTGCTAACTGCATTAAAGGGCAGAGGTTCAACAGGTGAATCTTACACGATCCATTACAGCTTCACTGCAAGTATTCATATTTCATCTGCTGAATTGATGTTTCACCCTGAATAGATCAATCTAAGAGAGCATAAAGTGCAGAGGAGGTTTCAGGAAAAGTTGGATCACATGATAGGTAAAACTTTCCTTCTCCAACTGGTAAATTCTGGGTAAATTAAATGTACCCCTCCCCCAAAAAAATCATTCCCTTATCCATAATATTCCTAATCCCACTCTTTCTCAAGAACAAGTTGAATGGTCTTTCTTTACTCCCCATCATTTTCTTCTAACCACAGATTAAGAGAAGCTCAAAAAGAATTAATGAATCTTCCCTAGTCATTTAGTGCATGTGCTCCAGATTTAAGCAAGTCAATGAAAAAGCTGTGGTAGCTCCATTCATATGACATGCTAAACTGAACAATGACTAATGGATGGAGAAATATTGATGGTGATGTGGGGGGGGGAGAGCAAAATTAAAGTGGGTTGGTGGGGAGGGCCCCAAAAAGAGTGGGTGGAGCCCAAAACAAACTGTGGGTGGAGCCAGTGAGTGGAGTTTGCAAAACTGGAAGGTTGAATCTCGCTTCTCTTCTTTGCGTCACCTCATCCTTTTCACTGCTATTCTGATTTTGGCATCTCTCTTTGGCTATCTCCATGCTTCTCAAGACACACGTTTCCTTATCCAAGTGACATCTTGTCACTCTGAAGGAGGCCCAAAATGGGAAGAAGAAAAATGGAAGATTTGTTCATCTTCTTGGATGAGTCTTCCCTTCCTCCACAATCTTACAAGCCCTATACTGAACCCCTCTGAATAATGGCACCCACCAAGCACATCCATGCATGGATCAACCATACCACCCAAGAGTTTCCACACCACTTGTCCATGAAAGAGCTAGAGAACAAAGAGTCTCCAAACAGAGGAATAAATAGAGATGTAGGATGACTTCAGGAAAGTATTACATTAAAGGCACTGGAGGACAGCCAAGATGTGTTTGGGGAGAGGGGGGGGAGAAGGGGGGAAATATTGGCAGCCCTAGTAACTGTCAGATCTCAAGGATTAATATCCAGCTCCATGATATAAGTCCTTGCCTGGCTGGGAAAGTAGCCAGACATCTTTCCCTCTCCCTGGGAGATACAATGAAAGGAGGTGTGGAATAAAAATGTCTTCTTCCTGCATACCTGCACAGCATTTGTTATTTGGTCTTTAGCCCAGAACATAACTATATTGGCTGGGTTGTGAATTATATGAAGCCGTCTCATGCGGAGATGAACTGGTCCTCTGAGGCTGCGTTAGCCTGCTCTGCCAGAAGGCCATCTCCGGAGGGTAAAATAGAGATGTTTCCCTTCACCTGCTATAATTGGATTTTTCCAATGGAATCCAACCTCTAGCATGCCAAGCAGGTACTTTAGCACGTGGCCACAATCCCTTCCCAAGGAGAAGTTCACTCCGGAATGTGTGCAGGAACACTCCAAAAGGAAAGAATATGTACAAAAATGTATCAGTACACTGGGGAGGGATCGCAATCCTGGCTGGGTCCTTTCAAACTTCAAGGGTCTGATTTCCCACTCAAATGGCACAGTGGTAGTGATTTTGTTTTATTTGTTTACATCCTGTCTTTATAATTTTTATAAATAACTCAAGGTGGGGAATATACCTTCCTTCTCCTATTTTCTCCAAAATAACAACAACAGCAACACTGAGATGGGCTGGGCTAAGAGAGAGTATCTAGAAGGCACCCAGTTCAGTCTTTTGGTTTCTAGCCTGGAGCCTTAACCACTATACCAAACTGACTCTAGTGATGATGGATACAAACACACCTTTCACTAGACTCTTCCTCCCATTTAATTACTTTAATTAATCCACCATACCTCTGGAACTCTCTACAGTTCCTTGCATCCAATTCCAGCTTTCCCCAAACTGGAGTTTTTCTTGAGAATTTAAGACTACAACCCCCATCATCCCAAGCCAGTGTGTCAATTGCTTGAGACTAATGGGGACTGTAATACGACATATCTCAAAAGACACCTGCTTGTGTAAAGCAGCCCTTTCTAAACCTGATAATATGGAGCTGTTTTCCCACCGCTGTACTTTAGTTCTCTGGCTCTTTCCAGTTTTTCTTTCTTACGGCCCTTTTGGGGCAGCATCCTATCCCTTCATTCTTTTCAGCGCTGCGAGTGCTGAAAACAAAACCCTGACGTCTCATCAAGATCATAAATTCCCTAGTTTCTCCTTGCTTAATAACACCAAGGTTCAACAAACAGCAAGCAATTCCCATTTCTACTCTTACAGCTGCCCCCCCCCCCAAGCTTTGCTGTACTTCATGTAACCTATCTTTGCAAATAACTGAAAAAGGGGTCAGCTTGTTTGGAGAGGAGAAAAAAAGAAGAACTGGGAAAACCCGTCACTGAAGCTGCTATCATTATAGTGGCACGGGAGTGTTTTGGGGGTGTGGGTGAGGCTCATCCCCTCCTGCCATCACAGTCTTTTCTCAATAATACTCCAGCACAACACTCTCCAGTCATTTGGGATTCTCATCTCACAGGTATTCTGGACTCCAGTCAAGCACATCTGGAGGGGCAGAGGATGCTTTGGCTCAGAAAGGCGGGGGAGGGGGAGGGGAAGAGGGCAGGATCTCTGCCAAGGTATTCTCCTCCCATCCCACCACCATTCAAGCTGTCTTTGTGGTCCAGCAGCTGTCTGGTCTGCCAGGGTGAGGGAGAAATTGGTGACACTCATCTGTCTGCAGTCGTGGCAGGACAGGTGGTCAAGATGGGGAGCTTTTGAGGCCGAGGGCTCCTCGGGCCAAGCAGAGGCACCAAGTGAAAGAGGCAGGGGGGGTCCTTCCAGGCCAAAGGCAGAGGACAAGTATACCAACACCACTTAAGTGGCTCTCCTTCTTCTCTTTGCAATCTCTGGCATGTCCATGCTGAGGGCTATGGCTGCGTTTCCAGCTGCCACTTTCTGCATCCCAACAATCTTATGTGGCTAACACTCTCACAACAACCTCCACAGGCACACCTGGAATAAATAGATACATGTTCACACAACAACTTGGTTTTGGAATGATCCCATTTGGGGGGGGGTTGTACCGTATTAGCACAGCAATGTTCCCACAACCCTGTAAGCCATGAGCAGACAAACCAAACTCAAAACTAAACCAGCTGGGCACAATTACAAATGCTGCTGGTAAATTTTTTAATTGATATAGTGATGTATGAATGCTGCCTGCACGTTGAGATGGAAGGCATGTTTGCTGAGCTCTCCATCAAACCTGTTACTCCATCTTCTGATCTAGAACTCCCATGATGCTGCTAGGGAGCGCATAGAAAGGGTCGAAATAGACAATGGCCACTGTGATGGGCATTGTAGTCTGAATTGCCTGGGTAATACTAGTTCAGGAAAGCAGAGATGGCCAAGTCAGGATGTCTTGTCCTCATCACTGGCCAATACAGACTTTTTGTCCCACCTCCCAGGTTTTAAGATATGGGTCTTATGGGCCCCATTCCCAAACTTGTCTTCCCAGTTCACTTACCTGCTTTCTGCAGAGTCCATGACCGTTGAAGGAGCACCAGCAGGAAACCAACGACTTCCCAGGGCATCTCTGGACAGTGTCACTCCTGCTCTGGGCATCAAGGCTGCCCCACAGCTGGGGGGTGTAGGAACCGCCAGGATCCCAACTGACAGCTAGAGCTGGCAATTGGAGCTGCAAACCCTCTCTGAACTGTCACGGTACCAGACCTGATTTCACTGTCCAGGGTGGTTCTGTCTATCGTGGGAACTGTGCTTTTTCTCCTCTGGGTTTCCGAAGGGCAGCGCGACGGAGGCTGCCTTCTCCCGATTTGAAGGACGCGCATCTGGAGTCTTTACTCGGGAGTCAGGAACCTAATAAGCGCCCTCCCAACGCAGCCGCAGATTAGGATCGTCTTCCCGGAGACATTTAGGATTTCTCCGGGTCGGAGATCATCCTGGCGGCGGGATTGAAGACGCGCCGCGGAGACGGGATTGCACCTCGCCCTTCTCGGCTTCGCTCCCAAACTTCTGATCTCGAATCGGCTGGATCTCCTGCCAGAAGCAGGATGCTTAGGGATTGATCCCGGTCTCTTGTCTCTCCGCCTCCTTTCCCCGCCTCTCTTGGCTTCCAACCAATCCCTTCTGCTCCCCTCTCGCTCCTGGAATGAATCCGGATATCTCCGGATCCTCCCCTCTTCTGACCGGTCGGCGGGTCAAGCTCAGTCCCCGCCAGGTGTCATCCTCAGGTGAGTTTCTTCTATCCCTCGAGGAATCTCGCTCGGCGTCTACTGGATGGTGGCGTCCAGAGCAATCCTGCCAGCCACCGTCGCCTGCGGAGCCGGCCAATCCCCGAAGGACCAAATTCGAGGGGAGTCGAACCGTGGCGCTTGTTTACATCGGTCGGGTGACGCAGTTCAGGCAGCCCGAGTCGTGGTCCTCTCGCCTGGGTGAGGGAGAGGTCGGATCCTCCAGTAGCCGTCCTAAAGCAAGACGACCACCTGTCGCAGCCGCGCGCCCCGGCTCGACGACGCTTGGACAGACGGCTCTCTTCTCCGGCTCTGCAGCTGCCGCGACCGCTGCCGCCGCGTTCCGTTCCCCCAGCCCGCTCCCCTGGCAGCCGGAGGCAGAAGAGAAGGCGGCTCCCCCGCCATCCCCACCCCACTCCCAACAGATCTCCCCGCCCTGGCCGGCGGCCGCCCCTGGGACGTCCCATCCCGGGGAGGGAGGGCCGAGGGAGGGGAGGGAGAAGCCGTTCTTCGGCGGCGTCGGCTTTGCAAGCGAGTCGCTGCCTTTTCTCAGCGTTCCGCGCAGCCTTGAAATCCGAGACGGGGCGGAGCCAAAGAAAGAGGAGGCGGTTCGTAACAAGAAAACGGAGTTTTGGGGACGCGGGCGGGACGCGATGGAAGTTGCTGGATGGCCAGGACAGGAGCTGTGGATTGCACCCCGCCCGGCAGCTTTTGTTCAACACCCGCCCTGCGTCAGCAAGAGAAAACCATGCAGATGAAGATCACAGATGAGATACCAAACGATCACCTAGAAAGAACAAAAATAACACCACGAATACTACATTAAACAACAGAATCAATGAATCAGCCCTTTTAACAAATACAGACCCGCAATTAAAAAAAACAACCACGTAATTTTAAAAAGGGCTCTGGCAATCGTCCCAGAAGCAGAGCGGGTGGGTGGATCGGCATTCATCTGCCAGAATGCCGTTTCTCATAAGCTGGGTCAATGGGCACCTAGAAAACAAGATTGTCTACTGGAATGAATAACAGACAAGGTCATAGAATATGGGCGAGCGATCAGTCTAGATAGCCGGGATCAACCATGGAAGCTTTTACAGCTTAATAAATTAAACTCTGCTGGAAAAGCAATGGCACCTAGCAGAGATATTTCAGTGAAAGAATATAATCGAGGTATCCTGCCCCAATCAATACTCCTAACTGCAACTTTTCACACCAATAGAACCTTCTGGATACTCTTCAAGGGTAGCCCTACATTAGAGCTCACTGCAGAAGTCCAATCGCGGTGGATAAAGTATGGAGGAATAATGTTAAAAGAAAACTTTACAGTTCATGCACTCCTCTTAACTGTGGGACAATTTCATTCTACTGCTGCCACTCAAAAGTCTGTAAGCCAAATAGAACAAAGAAGCATTTCCAAGAAGAAACCTGTAACTCTTTCTGGAACAATATGAAATCAAAACCTGGGCCAAGCTATCTCTTTATCAATAGCAGCTCCAAATTAGCTCTGCTTGTTCACACTCGTTCAGCCCAAAACTAAACCAACCCAAGTGACAATCCAAGCTATCAACCATTTCCTCAGGGTGATCGATATGTTGATGACACTCCAAATCTCACCTAGTAGGTTCAATCAATGTCACAAAACCCCCCAGATAAAATGCTTCTCTGATTTTACAGGTTGTTGTGGACCCTACTTTGAAAGGCAGAAAGAGCTAAGCTTAGGGACTATCCAAGAGGATTTTCTACAGAGTGTTTCCATGGCTCAATACTTGATAGAAAATCACAGTAAAAGCCTGATCTCACTGGTTATTAATTTAAGTAGAAATATTGTCTGTTCATATTCAAATGCTTTTCTTTTTTTTATTATAGCGATGTGTATGTCACCTAATTCACTAGACTGATGCGTGTTATTAAATCTGATATTTTGGCTGTAAAAAGAGATTTGAAGTGTGATCCAAGGTTGAATTTGTATGGTAACCTGCTTCATCTCCTTGCAATAATCTTGGGGATAAAATTACTCCAAGGTGGAAGACAGTCCAAGGTGGAAGAGATGTTAATGGTTAGAGCAATCCTCTCCAAAATGCCCTCTTCCTCCGAGTGCAGCAGATTCATCTCCTTTGATTTCCACCTAAACCATTCTCTCAATAATATTCTACGGATCGAAATGCATTTCTGACTCCCAGGTATTTAGCAAAAGCAACAAGATCAAATTTTGTTCCCCCTCAGAACAATGTTGCTGAAATCTAAGAAAATGAAACAAAAAAAATCAGAATTGGGGTTTCATGTGAAAGGACTGTCATTTGAGCACTAAAAACTACATCCAGAGATACTTCTGCTTCTTAATTCCCAGCACCCCCATCCCGATTCATCTCCTAAACCACTGTTTGCCACCTACCCTCCTGGTAGATGGATTTGGAGTTTCTAGCAAAGACAGTCAATTCAGAAAACCTAAGTCTGTCCATCCCTGGATTGAAGAAAGTTGACACTTGCAACATTCAGTTGGTATAGGAAACTGATTTAGCAACTGTGGATTTCCTTCAAAGATTCTTAGGAACTGTAAAACAATTTGTTCAAATTAAAAACACTTTTGAAGCCTTAAACTTCCTAGGATTATTTGTTGGGAAGTTCACAAGAATCAACTTGACCCAAAGCACATTGCAGTATAGAGGTTGGGCACCATGATCATCCCTGAGGGCAGGAGTGGGATTCTACCAGCTCGCACGTATTCGCTAGAACCAGTTGTTAACATTTATTAGAAGAAAACTTCCGGTTTGTCGGCTTCGCTAGCGGCAGGGATTCGTGATCCCTGCAGCGCTAGCCGTTTTGGTGCCTCCGATCCGGACGGGTTTGGATGCTAAGGCTGCCCTGCAGGGGTGGCTGAAGATAGGGGGGATCCGGAGAGGGGTTTGGGGGTGTTGCAGACCCCCTCCCCGGCCGGCAAAACCCCCTTTTCTCAAGACGGTGCAGCGGCGGTCCGTAATGGCCGCCACAAAGAAGCCGGCAGCTGGGTAAGAATGTGCAGGAGGAAGAGGAGAAAGTTTTTGAAGTGAAAGTTTTTCTTGGCTGACCCAGGACTTTAAGACACATTTAACATCCTGAAAACTATGGCTTTTTGAATGATACTTTCCAGAAGAGAATTATAAGCGGCAATTTTGAGGTGCTAAAAAGGAAAGTTTACTCTCCTTCCCTATGGAATCAACAAATGGATATTGAGAAACCTGTCTTTTTATAGAAGGTAAAAACTTGCTTTTTGTGATAAGTGGGAAGGGAGAGGATATATATATATATATATATATATATATATA